TAACAACATAAAAATGTGTAATACTCAGTTATGACAGATAGATCCTCTGTAGTTGTGGACTCGTGCTGCAATTAAATTATATTAGGTACCTATATCGAGTATAAATTAATATTTAGTAGGTATTAGAAAACCATAAAGTTATAAATAAATATTTAATACTAAATTGAAAAAAATATATTTTTGAGATAGCTTACGTAGTGTTAAACCTTCATGATATACTCCCCATCTAGTACTGTGTTTACAAATTTGCCACCTGGGACAAACTGTATATAGGCATTAGGCATGCTGTTGTAAAGTGCCCTCAGGCCTTGGTCCTTACCTATCGCAAAACAATCATGTATCTATATACTAGGTAGATAATAATTATTACTACTTACAAAATAAATGTATTTATTAAAATACTCTGGAAAGGGTAAACAAATAATATAAAATATTTTAAAAATTTAAAAAATGTATAGAATAAGAAACATTTTTTTAGGAATCTGTTTTTTATTAATTATAATATAATGTAGAAAAGTAATAAACACCACTTTATCTAAAAATCAACCTTAAGGGTTTTGGCACACCTAAAAAATTGACACCCTGGGAAAACCTCTTTTCTACCACTACACAGGCTGCAACTTATTACCCTCGTCTCTGTCAACGTGTTTGTGTATAATATACACAGGTATATACCGTGTATGACATAAATTGTAAAATAAGATACGATATTATATTGGTACACAGTGAAGCCTTAAATAATGGAATTGAAATCCTTGCATAAGTTAAGGTTTTTCACGGATAGCTATATTTCTTTTTAATTGATAAATATAATATGATAATAATATATCCTTATAAAGTTATAAAATATTCGTGTACAATATAATACTATTATATAATATGAAGGTCCACCTAACCTAACCCTATACCTATATATTAAACGTGTGATTGATCGCACGGTTGATTGTTATTATTTTATTATTATCGTCGTGTCAGCTGGAAAGTTTTTAATAACGATGGGTATATTGTATATTATACTATAATATTTTACAGTATATAGATAGGTACGCGACGACTACACACACTGCACACGCGTAGCTGTCGGACAATTTGCTTCAATTTTTCTAGTTGTTATTCTATCTGTATTAAAAAAAAAAATAAAAAATTAAATAACTACGTTTCTCACGTTTTTTACCCTGGGGGGGGGGGCAACGATGTTGGTGTCCTTTGTGTGACGCACGTTTATTTCTTTTTCTTATTTTTCGTGTATATATACGTTTTTCTTTCCGAGAAGTTGGTCCGATCGTATATACATAATATAATAACATATATACTTCTTTGTTCGAAAACTCACTTGCATGCTTGAGTGTGTGTGTATACGATCGGGACAGGTGACAAAGACGGAGAAAGAACACGATAAAGATATATGTGTATATATATGTATGTATATTATATACTTGCTCGCCAACAATACAGATAGATGGGTAGATAGATCTATGGACCGATAAGGAGAGAGACAGGCAGAGAGAGAGAGATAGCTGTGCGACGGCGACAGACAGACAGACGACCAACCGACCGACCCATGCCGTGCGGTATATCTTCCGCTCCAGCGTGTCTGGGGTCCGGCTCGCCGTTGTGTTCGCCTGCCGTCCCTAACTAACCTTATTCTCCTCGGACTTCACCGCCGATAACCGTCCGAATGCCAGGTGTCACATCGATTGTATACCGTACACAGCGCTCTCACTCACACATGCGTATGCTATATTATATATGTATAGTAGGTACCTCCTATACAGTATATACAGTAAACATATTATATTGGTTTATAATATATCATGTATAAAATAAACATGGTCGAAACTCGAAACGCACATGAGTTTTTGTCGATCGCGGCGGCGGCTGTGTGTTCATAATACTATACACATTATAATGTATAAACGGACGAGTGGGGCTCGCAAAACTGGTTTCCTCCGATATTATATTGTGTTATGTTTTATTCCTTCACGATCGCTGTCTAATCCGGCTGCAAGAAAAAATGCACCTGCAGCAGTAAATTCTTCTTTTTTTTTTAAATGCAAAAAAAAATTATTTTTATTTTTAGATAGCCGTGTCACGGGTCACATTTAATAATACCCATGTAAAAAAACATTTATACAATTTAATTGTTTTTTACATTCATTTTAAGTAAAGTTTATACGATAATTTTTACTTTTTATTTTATTAGTACCTAATTAGTAATTACTAATTAGTAGGGTATTAGGGACTTTCGTACGTATGTTATTATTTATTAATGTAAATTAATTTACTAAAATATAAACCTCAAGAGGACTCCGTATCCGCATGTGTAGTTGTTTACGTCTCACTGACGCATAACATGCCAAAATTTATGTCGAGAGGACCCGCACAATATGTTGCCTCTGTCTTACATACCGTATACGACATACCAAATTTTCATTCACCAGTTTCAGAAGTGCGCTGTTCGCTTTGATATTAGTGTGAATTGACCTATTACCAAATATTTAGGTAAGAACATCAACTATGTTCTATCGCTGGTTGTTTCAAAAAGGTTATGTTATTTAGAAATTGCTAATATAAACACTAATGTATTTAAATATTTACACTATACAATTTTTCGATTTATTTTCACTTTTTTGGAAAACTGGTTTTGCGTAAATTTCTCAGTTTTTCCTTAATTTTTTGTTTGTTTTCCTCACGCTTTTGAAAACTATTGGGAATTTTAATTCCCCAAAGTATCAACTAGATTCACTCTACTACCAGAAAAGATGCTGTTGGAGAAAATAGAAAATTTAACTGCCCCAAAAGGTGATGAAAGTCACAAAAAAAAGACATTGTGAAATTAATAGGTACCTAAATTCATTCTCTGAATCTAAAATAAAGTGGCAATCAAAATGTTTTTTATGTTTAGGATGAATACTTTTTACTTTGTACGAAAAAGAAATCAGTTTTTTGAGATTGGGTAAAATAGGTAATTGGTGAAAAACAAAAGGTCGATTTTGGGAGAAAACATGTACGCCCTAACCCCCCTAACCACCAGAACCCCCTACTTTTGAGGGTATGCCGGGAGCATACAGCTAGGTGTATACGGTGGTATACCCATTTATAATTTGGTATTTTTGTGAATTAGGGTATACGAAGGGCTCTATTTTGTCGGAACTTGTATTTTGTGGGAAAAATAATACATCGAAAAGTATTTTGTGGGAAAAAAAAATTTCTTCTAATCTTTTTTCCGATAAAATATTTTACAATATTTTACAAGTCTGTGTATGCTCATTGCTCATACCCTGAACAAATGTATCGTATGAGTACATGACAATTATCAATAATCTATAGACTATATATTAGAACCATAAAATAAATAATTGAGATTGGTTATTACCACGTACAAGCATAGGCGCAATTTTTTGGGGGGGATGGGGGGCTAGTATTAAATAATTTATTAGTTATAAATAAATCTACATAATTCAGTAAACGTCGTTTGAAGAAATTATTTTCTAAGGTTTAAACAACGATTTGTGTGCTTTCCACATAGACCTGATAGGTAATAGATCTATTATGAGTTCTATATGGTTTCCTTATAGTAGGTATAAGTAGAAATCGGATCCACCCACAGAACATAATATCAATACCTATCAATACCTTTATTAATAGTTAATAATTAATAGTTACCTATTACTTATTAGTTTTAACTTTTAAATGTATAGACGTATATTAATTACTAATTTACTAATTTATATGTTATAATTTATTTAATACCTAACAATTAATAATAATGGCTTTTTTTTGTGAAAAAAAAAATCTAGAGAGGTGGATTGAATTCTCGAGATTTTACAACATCCAATTTGCGTTTACATTTAGATAAAGAGCATCATTCAACTTATACCCAGTTTAAACGTAAACACAATGAAAGTCACAAAAGCGTTGATGTAGCTGATGAAGTAATATATAAATTATAAATTAATAAGTATAAGTTTGTGTTTGTATATACCTACATTTATAATATGAAAAAGTTGATTTATTATTTTATTTACATATTTCATATTAGTCTCATAATTCAAATTTCAAATGTACATAGGTGCCTAATACAACTTGAAGTTGAAAGTCATATTTTTTGTGATATCATTACTCGTTAGAAAATATTTAAATGCACTAAGTAAATTACTAAATTAAATTTATAATTTGCTTAAATTAATTTAAATTTCTCAATTAAATAATTATTATTATTTATTAGTTATTAGTTATTTAATAAATAATATTTTATTATAAAATTTATAAAATGTCTATTTAATATTTGTTATTTTATCATTGGCACATATGTATCAAATTTGAAATTTGTATATTTATATTTTACGGTATATAATTAATTATTTTTTTATCACTGTTATAATATTAAATATATTATTATTTAATTTACAGAACAATGACCAACCAGGGACATCAGCTGACTACAGTATGCAGGAAGCTTGTCAACCTAATAAGATAAAAGTGATAAAACATTTAAAAAAAACAATTATCATTGCCTTTCCTTTTTCAAAAAAATGCAGCACTACCTTATAACAGTGGCAGATCCCTTAAAATAAATGATCTTATTGGAAAGATGTTGACTACTCAACTTTTACCATTTTCGCATGTTGAAAACTCAGGTACCTACTACCTACTTCTACCTATGTTTAATTTAGGAATTGTGAACAATACAAATGTTGAATTGAAAATTTTTTAATTTTTATTTGTTTATAATCATAATTATTAATTATGTATCCATTTTAATTTTCAATTTTATTTCAGGTTTTGATGATCTAATTAACTATTTGGATCCACATTATACCATTCCAAATAGAACAACATTTTTAAGGACGATAATAGGTACCACAACAGTTTGAGAAAGTAGCAGCTAAATTGAAGGAAGTAGTAAGATTGCCAATCATTTATCATTTACTACTGACTTGTGGTCATCTATAAATACAACTGATTATATATCAATTACTTGTCATTTTTTGGACAATATGTTCCAACGACATAACATTTTGTTGGAGGTTATTCCATTTCGACCATCTTATCACTCTGGTGATGAAATTTATGATTTTGTTATTGAAATTTTGGAGAAATGGGATATTAACATAAATAATATTCAGGTCTTTGTCCACGACAATGCTGCAAACATGGGGAAACCTTTTCATCATCGAAGTTTTAAATCTGTTTCATGTACTTCTCACACATTGCAATTGGTAATTTATATTTTAATGTTTCAATTTTATACATTATTTTTATTTATTTATTATGAAAAAAAAAATCTACTTAATAAATATGAAATAAGTAATAACAATTAACAAATAACAATTATGAATTAAGTATTAACTGATAACTGATAAGTGTATTATTTTAATTTTATATTTATTTATTTTTCTGTTTCAGGCAATTAATGATGTACTTATAATGGAAAAACAACATGAAGAACTGTGTAAGAAAGTTAGATCAGTGGTTAGTTAAAGTGTCATCAGTGTCATGGCTTTCAAATAACCTAATCAAACAAAATTGTTTACTAAAATAATAATCTTTAAAATATAATACCTAGTTCATAAAAGTGTACAACATACTTTTTACACACATCTTTAACAGGTAGAATATTATATTCATCGAGCGTAACTTCAGTTAATGTGTTTAAAGATATATTCTAGTTAAATATATTACCATGGATTTCATAAGAAAATCTAAATAAAATTAAAATTAATTGTATTATAAAAACCTTACAATATATTTTTATATTTACTAAGTAAATATTATTAACTTACATCTGATTGGTTGTACTGCCTAAGGATTCTAATTTCCTATTATTTCCTATAGTGTTACTGTTATCGTCACAGTTGCTCTGCAATGGAAACATTGTCATGATGTCATTATCAATAATAATGTCATCTTTAACTTCAAAAATCCAATTCTCATCAAATAAACTAAAAAAAATAGTCAAGTATATAATATTAATACAATCAGCACCTAACTTAACTTAAAGCATATTAATATATTATGACCAATCAGTTGTTAAATCAAATAAGTAAATTACCCTTGATCAGGATGAGCCACATTTTTATTTACACTTGAATCTAGTAAAGTAATATCAAAAATATTTTTTTCATTTGTAACCCTGCAATATTTTAATAGTAATGAAATTTTTTTAATATTAATTAACATATTTTAAATAGATAGACAATAAAATTATTATTTACCAATTTCAAACAATATGAATTAAGTGAGTCAGCAGATCAGTTAATTATATAATATTATAATAATGTTACAATAAATTTGTACATATTATTTAGTACCTAGTGCCAGTAGCTAAGTATAGTTAAACATTGTAGGATACTTACATTTGATCGGTTGTACTGCCTAAGGATTCTAATTTCATATTATTTCCTATAGTGTTACTGTTATCGTCACAGTTACTCTGTAATGGAAACATTGTCATGATGTCATTATCAATAATAATGTCATCTTTAACTTCAAAAATCCCATTCTCATCAAATAAACTAAAAAAAATAGTCAAGTATATAAATACAATCAGCACTTAACTTAACTTAAAGCATAATATAACCAATCAGTTTTTAAATCAAATAAGTAAATTACCTTTGATCAGGGGCGTCATTTCAATTTTTTTTTTGGTACGCATAAATATTGAGCAGGCCACTATTTATTTTTTTTCTTGACATATTTTACATTATTAATATTATAGTAGTATAATAATAATAATTATAAAAATAAAGTAAAAATACCTAATACGAGCAGTAAGCAGTGCAAAAGCTATAAATGTCTAAATTTAATCCAAATTGAAACTTCAACAGTCAAATTTAAATAAAAACGATGAACAATATAAAGCAATACAATAGATATGCACAGAATAAATCAGGAAAATTAATTAAAGCATAGGTGATTATAATGAATTAAAATTACATGTTTATTTTTATTTTTTAATATTAATTCATACAAGAGGATACCGCCGTGTCTTCATGTTAGAAAACATAATTAAAGCTTCTTGTAAGTCAATACTATTTGCTTCAGTTGATTCAACGTTAATCACCATCAAATCATTTAATCTATCATCGTTCATACTTAAGCGCAAAAAGCTTTTGACTCTTTTTAAAGATGAAAAAACTCTTTCATTAGAAGCAGTAGTACAAGGTAACGTTAAAATGATTGAAAGTACTTTAAGAGTTTCAGAAAATGCTGAAGGAAGTTTTGACAATGAGTTAGTAATTGTTGTGATATCAATATCATTTTTTTTTTCTAATAATATTTTTGCTGATTGGAACTCAGAAGGAATTTTCATTGTATTTATTTTAAAATAAGCATAATGTATATAATCTATATATAATCTATATAAGCATAAAATATAATATAATCTGTGATAATACTAGACCGATGTTTGATAAAACGATAACAGCTGTTAATGAATTCCAGTATACCACGATTACATTACCCTTCTAGTGATTTGTGGTTACTAGTAATAATCATACAACGGTTGTTTTGTAATTATAAAGAAGTGATCAATCAATCAATTAGGTATCAACTATCATAATAATTAATATTTACATATTAATTTATTATTTTAGTATAATTTTAATTTTTTTTGTGATGGGGCCGAGCGGGCCATGTGCATGTGCCTTGCGGGCCAAAAATTACAATTTAGAATTTTAGGTACGCAAATGTATACCCTGCGTACCGCAAATGACGCCCCTGCCTTTGATCAGGATGAGCCACATTTTTATTTATACTTGAGTCTAGTGAAGAAATATCAAAAATATTATTTTCATTTGTAAGCCTAAAACGTTTTAAAAATAATAATTAAACATATGTATGGTTATCTTTAAAGTAGGCTTTAATATAGGTAAAAAAAATATACCAATTTCGAACAATATCATGTTTGGAGTTTGTGTTAAGATTGTCTATGGTATCACTCAATCTATAAATTAAATTTAAGTAGTAAAAACATGAGGTAATAAATAATCAGAGGTATAGGTAATAATATTGTATAAATATACCTAATTTACAAATAAATAATAATTAGTAGGTAGTTACCTACTTTTAAAATTTTAAATGGTAATAATGCCATCAAATGAACATAAGTAGGTACTAAGCAATAAGCTGCATTAATTTGTAAAAGCAATTTTAAGCCTTTGCAATAATATTAAACATTATGTTTAAATTAAATGTATTGATAATATTATATTAAATATAATTTATATCTATAAAATATTTTAAGTATCTATGTAAATATCTCACTTAAAATGAATACCTATTACCTATACCTAATTCTAAATTATATATTAGGTATTATTTTATAGGTACTTACTTGTTGTTAATGTCAACTTGTTTTTCTGCTAGCTTCATTAACTTATTGGTACGGTTTCGTAACCCCGATGACAACATATTTTTTTTTTCTATTATAACGATAATAATTGACAAGATCTCGGATCAGAATTATTAATGTTGAGGCATCCCATTAAAATAAAACCAAAAAAAAATAATATTGACTAAGGACTAAGGTAAATGTACCGTATATTTATTAAAATTATTTATAGAAATCTTTGTTTTGTTGATAAAAATGTACAATAATTAATAATATTGTACCATCATATTATTATTGTATGGTTGATACAGTGAATATGAGATAGTACTTTTTGGTTATCACTAATTTTTTTTCTTCTTATAGATAGAACCTTTTGGTTTTAACACTATTCTCAAGAACCAAATGGTGCTATCTAGATCGCCATCAAATAACAAAAGTGTAAATTTGATCGATTTAGCACCTTTTAGTTCTGGATAACTCCTTAAATAATGTACTTAAAAAGTTGGATGTGAGTTTGGATTATAGACCATTGACCAATAAACCCATTTATATAAAAAAGTGGATTTTCGAAAAAATCGATTTAGCACCTTTTGGTTCTGAGCCCACGATTAGTAGAAAACAAATGTATCACATTTTTTTTTTTTTTATTATATTATAATTCAAAGTGTCAAACATAGGTTTAACATCGATACTAGCAAATGAGTTTAATATTTCTACAGGTACAATTTCATTAGCTAGGTCTCTCTCGATATTTATAATACTCAAATTAGTATAATAATAATTAGTAATAAATTCTTTGCTCGAATTGGGGGGTGCGCAGGGGGACAGAGCTCCTCTACTATTTTTATTTTTCTCTGAGTACCCCAACTATTTTATTTTACTTGGACGGGTATTTTATTAAAATTTGGAGTGGATCTAAATTGTTGTCAAAGATATGCAAACCTAATGAATTTTTTAATATACAAATATTTTTCATCACGACTCGTGTCAACTTTGTAGGCCATGAAAGAAAAAATACTTTAGCTGCTAGTCTTTTTTTAACTTTGGTATCAAAAGTAAGCTCAATTTATTGATTATCTATGTATGTAGACATTTTAACTGTCATTATATCTACTGTAAAATATGGTTCTTCAATTCATTCATCATTTATAATAATTATACAATTATTGTATAAATTTATAATTTTTTTTAAGAAAAAAGACCTGTCACGAACTATTTTTATAGGTTACGTGACCCAAGATTTGGTAGCGACCCACCGATTGAGTACCAGTGGTTTAGACTTCCTAATACCTTGCTAATTTTTTAACTATAGTTTGTTTGTATTATATCTAGCTTGTTTTTTTTCCCCAGTTTAGTAGTTCGTAGTTATTATGTATACTTACAGGCTACAATAAGCTATTGCATTATCAAATATCTGTGGACTAATGTCCACAATTGAGATAGGTCTGAAGCACAAATTATAATTATTAAGATATTATCACTGATAATTATAATTTTTTGTTTCTTACCATTATATGTAAGTATTATTTCTATCAATAACAGTTTCAAAAAATAAGATGAATATTTAGTATGAATCCATATTTACTTATATACATATTGTTAAATATATTATATTTGGAAATTTGGAATAGAATAAAGTTAAAATTTTGTAACCAAGGTGAAATGTAGTATTGAAAAATGAAGTATTGGCGTCTACGGGTCTGCATTGAGTAATTTTGCACTTATAACGCAGCTTATAAGTTGCTGGATTGAGCCCCTTTTCTGAATAATTCCCAATTCGAGCACTGGTAATAATATACTGTAAATTGTCATATAAATGATATAGGTACGCAAATAGCTGTTAAGAACCAAAATAACTGATGTCTGATAGTAAAATCTTAAAAAATTAAATGACCCTAAATTATTGTTAAAACTTTGAAATTACAAAGACATGGACTTGGGGGCAGGGCCGTCCTTAGAGGGGGGTGTGGGGGGTGTGACACCCCCCCACTAATTGGTCAGTTGGCTCATTTGATATTGAGCCGCCGAGTCGGCAATTTAACAATTTAATAATAATTTTAATAATATAAGGTTTTTATTGACAAAAATGTATAATTTAAATTAATAAATTTTATTATTATAGCTTATATAGGAAGTTATATTATATCATAAATTTAAAATAATAAAAGGTATTAAAATATGTATGATTTTGATTTGTGTATAATACCGTTGATTATAAAATATAATCAATGATAATACCACGGAATACATATTATTCTGTGATAATACTATTGATTAAGTATACAGTGTTTACTTAATCAAAGTCAATAATCGCTCTTCCGAAAATTCACGATAACGTTATAAAAATAGATCATTGGCCCTTGCTGTGTTATTTTGCGGGTTTCAGACGATTGGCATCACTCATCGGTGTAATATTTGTAATTACGTTTATTCTGTTTCTGGCATATTTTTAATTATATTTCTCTAATCAGTAATGTAGTAATCATAATCATAATAAAGTGTAAAAGCATGTTTTTACATTATTAATTTTCTTCGTTCTTGTTATACTAATAAACTATATTCAAAAAACAAAAATGTGTGACTCAAATAAAAGAAAAAGAAAACGGGTAAAAGTGGAATGCATGGAATGTGGTAGTCAATTTAATGATGATTTAAAAAAAAAACATGAGGAAAAATTACATCGCGGAAAACGGGTAAATGTTCAACATGTTGGCGCACCCAAAAATCCATTTGAAAGTGCAGCTAAACGAAATTTGAATAATCTGTCAATGACACTGGTAAGTCGTAAATTGTTGTTATTTTTTAGACAGTATAATTCACTATAATTTAATCATTAAGATTTTCTAAAATATTTTTATCACCAAGTTTTAATAACTAAATGTATGACTGTATGAGTATCATTAATCATTACTAATATTACGAATATAATATATTATGGCTTACTAAGTGTTAAACTTGTTATAAATTCTAATTATTTTTTTTTTCTTTAGAAAAATTGCACTTCAACCAGTTCAACCTTATCAGCTAATAATAATAATGATGAAAAAGAATTTGAGGATAAATCAGCCTCTACTGTTCAAATAGATGTTGATACAAAATCTGAGGTATTGTTATATTAATATTTAAAAGCTAATAATAATAATCATAATAGGTAAAGGATAGGTATATAATAATATATATGATTATAATAAATTATATTTAATAATATTCATTCATAGAGCATGTACTAAAAGGGTTGCTTGTTATATGTACCAAACATTCATAAAATAATTATGATAAAAACATAATAAATTCTAATATTACTTAAATTTTTAGAAAAATGAATCTTCAAGCCTAACAGTTAGTAATGATAGCAATGAAAAAGAATTTGAGAATAAATCAGATTATACTGTTCAAAAAGATGTTGATACTAAATCTGAGGTATTGTTATTAATATTTAAAAGCTAATCAAATAAATCATTAATTGGTAAAGGATTTATAATAATATATATGATTATTGATTATATATTATGTATATTTAATAATATCTATTCTTACTGCATACAAATAAAAAATATAGCTAAATACTAAAAAGGGTTTCTTGTTTTGTACCAAACATTCATAGAATAATTATGATAAATAGTATTAAAAACATAATAAATTCTAATTACTTTAATTTTTAGAAAAATGAATCTTCAAGCCCAACAGTTAGTAATGATCGCGATGAAAAAGAATTTGAAAATAAATCAGATTCTACTGTTCAAAAACATGTTGATACTAAATCTGAGGTATTGTTATTATTATTTGAAAACTAATCAAATAAATATTATAAAACATTATTTGGTACCTGAATATCTAATGGAAAATGAATAATATATTAATATTTTTTTTTAAGAATTCTGAACAATTTATTGAATACAATATTGATGAAAATTCGGAAGAAATATCATGGTTGTTATGTGCTGGTCAAATGGAGGATCTAGTGTCAAATTTAATTGAGTGCAATACTTTGCTGTCAAAATTGAAAGAAGATATATTACCAAATCCTATTATATTTATGTTGGAAAGTCGACAAGTAATTAATAGAATAAAATTAAAGTCAGAATCTTTTTTACAAAAATCCAAAGTAGTATTAGACAACTTAACTGATCCGTCTGACCAAATACTATCAGTTGGTGAATCAAATTATTTTGTTGAACATGATCCAGGGCGTCGGAGTGATATCACTTCTTCGTCACAAAGGCAATATCTTTTATCATTGGGTCCACACCAACCTAAACTTTCAAAATATCCAATCAACAATGATATTGATAAATTTAAACAAAAAAGTTTTAGTCCTATTTGGTATAAGGAGTATCCTATGCTAGAGTACAGTTTGCTTACTGACTCTGCATATTGTTTTGTGTGTTCATTATTTCCAAAAGGGTTGGGAAAACAGTTTTCTAATGAAGCATGGGTAAAGCAAGGTATTAATTCGTGGCCAAAAATGAAAAGTCGGGGAAGAGCTAAATTAGGCAAATTGGAACAGCATTTTAGTTCTTTATCACACAAAGCAGCTCTACATGATTACTGCAACTTTATGAAAGAGTCTAATCATATTGACGTTATTATGAATAGATCAAAAAGACAAGATACAATCAAACTAGTACATGAAAAAGAATTTAATAAACAAATAATTATAATTTTATTTGATTTAGCACGAACGTTGTGTAGGCAAGGGTTACCCTTTCGTGGAGATGGTGATGAATCTAATGGTAATTTTAATCAAATGGTTCAACTTATGTCTAGGCACAATCCTTTAATGAACCGTTGGTTAAGTGAAAAATCATCAAGATCTTACAATGTCACATATTTAGGTCCACGTTCGCAAAATGAGTTTATCGATATGTTAAGTAATGAAGTAAGAAGAATAATTGTGAAAGAAGTCCAGGAAGCAAGTTTATTTTCAGTCATGGCTGATACAACCCCTGATAATTCACATAAGGATCGATTGGCAGTTTGTTTGCGTTATACTAATAACAATGGAAAAGCAATTGAAAGACTTCTAGAAATAGCTGAAGGAGTAGACAAAACTGGCCTAGGAACAGCTAAACAGATTATTGACATTTTAACTAAACATTCTATAGGTACAGATAATTTGGTATTTCAGTCATATGATTATGCTAGTAATATGTCTGGGCAGTTTAACGGTACACAAGCTAAGCTTTCAGAACTTGTTGGTCATACTGTTTTTTATATTCCATGCCAAGCTCACCGAATGAACACATTTTTGGAACATGCATGCAATTCTAGTCTAATTGTGTCAGACATGATTGACAACTTGGAAAACCTATATGTATTTTTTTCAGCTAGCAATAAAAGGTATAGTGAATTAAATAAACAAATGATGGATGTTGATAATACATTACAATTAAGAAATTTATCCAAAACAAGATGGACAGCCCGTGCTGAGTCTATTAAAGCTGTTTGGGTTTCATTTGAAGCTATATGTAACACTTTGCAAAGTATGTGTTCACATATTGAAATATTTGATAGAAATACTAGGACAAAAGCATTAGGTATTCTCAAAAAGATGCATTCATTTGATTTCATTGTATTCTTGATATTCATGAAAAATATAATGTACAAATTGAAATCACTAACTGAGACACTAGAAAAAAAAAGTCTATGTGCAATTGATGCTGCTGTTTTGATAGAGGCCACAATTAAAATTTTAGAAGATATTAATTCAGATTCAGATGGAATGAATGATTTGGTTGATAGTGCTAAATCCTTTGCAGCAAATCTTGGTATAGATTCAGAATATGATTTTAATCTTCATCACCGTAGAAGAAAACAGCCGACTTGGTTAGACCAAAATGCAGGCACTCAAGTTAATTTAACTTTTTATACATTTTACAAAAAAGAATTTAAATGTATACTTTCTACACTTATTAATTTATCTAAGGACAATTTAAAACTATTTATTGATACAATAATGCCATTATATAAAATGTTTTCATTTCCAATCAAGAATGAAAATATTAGCATAGAGAATATACAAAATGCTATGATAATGTTTCAGTGATTTTGCAAAGTGCAAAGATATAGAAGCCATTCAAGCTGAATTAGGAATATTAAAAGAAATATGCAAAGATTTAAGTTCAACACCAAACACTGCTTTTATCGGTTTAATTGAAAAATGTGAAGAAGTAAAACATATCCTACCATTAGCTAATAATATTTGTCGGTTAGCATTAACTGCACCTGTAAGTGTTGCTACCAATGAACGGAGTTTCAGTAAACTTAAACTCATAAAAAATCATTTAAGGTCAACTATGACAGACGTTAGGTTAGATTCATTAATGCTGTTGAGTATTGAAAAAGATATTTTGGATGAAGTTGATATAAATAAAATAGCTACACAGTGGTCTAATATGAAAGAAAGAAGAATTAAATTTTAAAATTGTATCTTATTTTTACTGTGATTAAATACTCTTAAAATTGAATGTTATAAGTTTTTTGTTTTATTTAACCCATTGTACCAAATAAATGCCGTTAAAATGCAAAATATTTGTAATATGTATACCTATGTTTACGATATGTATTTTAATAATAATTCGAGCGGAGCGAGAAAAATTTTTTTTTTGAGTTGGCAAATTTATGAATCAAGCCCCCCCATGATTTGTCTTTCGGGACGGCCCTGCAGTTGGGGGTGTTTAAATTACAGTTGGGGGGTGCTTAAGCACCCCCTAGCATCCCCGTAGTTGAACTACTGCTAAGCGCAACATAATTAAACTCAGTTTATTTAAGTATCATGATTAATATCGATTATTAATATTTAATATAGTTGTATTACCATGTGCGGAGGCGTCTGCCTTGTCGATGTCAGGTTTACGACGGCGTTTACCGCTTCTAAACAAACGCTTGGTATGGGTATTTATTTATATTATAAATATTGCTGTATTACTATATCGCTTATTGTAGAGCGCACTCACTCAAATATTTATTATAGGACAGTAGTATCTTATTTATTTTTGAAGTGAAACAACTCTGTGGCCTTTGAGTCGTTAAACGTTATAGTTTAACTTTACTAAGGAGCATGTACTACTTCATATATTATGTACGTCTTAGAATCATTTTTTATTAAATACCTATTATTATTATTTTTTTTTAATTTGTTAAATATCTACATTATTTTTATTAATAGCCCAGTCAAATTAGACCAAAAAACGACTAAGTTCGGAACTCGAAAGCGGGATTTTGATTTTTTTTTTTTTTAGATTATACCTCACTTATAAACATACTAAAAGTCCTGACACCTACCCCTTGTTCGTAGCCCACCACCCCTTTTCAAAGGGTGGCGCGCCACATTCACTTTTTTCGCCTATAACTCGTCAGGTTATTTACATGAATCGATGAGTATTATATATTTAAAATATATATAAAAAAAAAAATAACTTGTCTTGTTTATATTGTATTTGAGCGATAACCGTCAATCATACGCTAAAATGACCTATGACAAAAGTTGATGAGCAGATAATTTTACTTAAGACCACGATAAATTATTTCTTAATCAAAGGTCGAGGTTTTCAAAATAGTGTTTTATTTCACGGAAAAAAATAATTTGGCAATAGTACATACCTAGTTAAAAAAAATCATAGTTAAAGTAGCCATAGTTTAGTGGTATTAAAGGGTTAGAATACCTATACTATTTTAGTTAACAATTTATAGTTAAAACTGTTATGCTCATAACTGATTTTACTATGTTTTTAGTTATAGAAAAAAGTTTGATTTGGCAGCTAAAATTATAGTTGATCGTACTAAATATAACCTATATTATATAATATTTTTGTATATATAAATATAAATAACTCAAGTCTACCATAAATAAACTATAAATAACTAAAATACTGGGAATAACTGATAAGCCCTGTTCATTTATTATAATTCCCAGCATTGTAACAAACATACACATTACACACACAACACAACGATCACAGCGGACAAAATTGAAATATTTTTTGACAAGACTGAACGTGTGTACGCATAGCAGCTTAGGTAATCGTCATTCTTATTCGTTTTTGAGCATTGTTATGTATTTATATTGTCATTGTATTTGCATTGTGCGTACATTGAGAATCATTTGTTGTCATAACCTACAGGCTACCACCTACCACGGACGACGGGCAATCAAGGTAAGTTAAATTGTTGACTGATTTTATTTTAAATATAATTTTTTCCTTTTTAAAACAAAAATGAAAGTATAGAGACAATTATAAATATTATGTTGTGTATTTTAGTACTTATCTAATATGGGTGCGTAATAAAAGTTAAAACAATAAATACCTATAGGTACCTATGTATTATCAACTATTAGCACAATGATCTAATATATAATACATCTGAGGCAATGAGGCCTATTATAATACCTAGTTCCATATTATTCATATTAATTTATATTATATTTTTCACATTTAATAGGTACCTATAATAGGTCTATCTAGAAGTAATAATTAATAATATTTGTGCTAATATAAAATTATTTTTTTAAATATATTTTCTACTCCAGTCTTAACTAATTACCTACTTATGAATTATGGTATAACATTTTAACCCTCTAAAATATATTATTTAATACTATTACAATGAGTAATAAGGAAAGAGTGGATATTTAAATGCTTTCTTATGTTTCTTTAAAAATTATTTACCACATACTCCGAAACTTACCAGTTCCCACTGTGATGGATACTTGGACTGTGTCTAAATTAGAAGAGTGGCAAATGCCTGAACATGTTATTGTAAAGTGTAAAGGTAAATTGTATTTTATAGTACCTACTTATAATAATTTAAAAGATGACTATTTAACTATCCATCAAATATTCAAATCTATGACCAAGATGACGTCTCCGCATGAGTTATCTCAGTCTTTCAAATGCGAAACATGTTTGGCAATTCTTATTTACCTTTTTTAGATGTAAGAGTAATTTTACTAATTGACACATTTTTAAGTTAACTTATTCTGTTTATTGGGTGTTTTATCAAAATATAAGTTACATATTATATGAGAATTTTTAAATTTTAATATTTTACACATGTGAGACATCCTCTTAAAAGTGATTTTCTATTAGTAAAATGTTAAATTCTTTTTTTTTTTATTATCGTTTAATTAAGAATGTGTTGAAATTAGTACTTTTAAGTAAGGTACATTTGACTAAAATGAAAAATATAAAATAACTTCAAAATGATTGCCATTTTTATGTTATTCCGTTGAGATGCACTAGTATATCATTGACATTTTTTATAACATTACGCATTGTGTCTTATTTTAGAAGAAGGAATTGACAAATCTGCATTCTTGACATTAACCGAGAGTATGATAAAAGAATTAGTCCCTATGATGGGGTTAAGATCCAAACTCTACAACAAACATGTAGAGCTTAAAATTCAATGCGAAAATATCCATGACAATAATTTAGAAGCGGTATAACCATTTATCATAAATTTTATAAAAACATAGGTAATTAAATAATTAAATTCAGTAATGAATATGAGAAATACCTTAAGTACAATGTTTTTAAATAATTTTACTAACTTGAACAAGAGTTTAATGCTGTAGGTTTAATAATTTCATTATACCCGACTGTTAAAACATTTATATTTAAAAGAAGTAGGTATGTTAATATATTACGATTAAATTTGCATTGATTAATGTTTATGTTGACAATATTAATAATAATATATTATACAATAATAACACAAATAAAACCAACCTTAGACCAAAGAAAAAAAAAATGTTAGTATGTTAAATCAAAAAAATCTAAAATAATTAAACAATATTTAATTAATTTTATAGATATGAGATATAGGGCCTTAAATAATAATTTAGGATAAGTATGACAAAATGTTTCAGTCAATAAACAAATACAATTCAATCTATAAAATTGTTGAATTTGATAATTTAAGTCAACTTAAATAAATATTTTAAAATAGGCATCACAAATACAAACAATAGAAGAGAATAATATTATAAATATTAAAAATATTGATTCATTTGAAATGATTGAATTAGAAACAATGATGAAAAATACTGAAAATACATTAATAAACCAAATAAACACTACAAGTGTAAACACAACTGAAAATGCAGAAAGTCTGTTACAGGTAATAATTAACTTCTTTTAGTGTGCACAAAATTATATTTATTTAATTGTTAAAATATTAAAATTAAAACTAATCAATTTAAAAAGCACAATTAGGTATCAGAAGAAAATGAATAAATGCAACTATAATTTTATTATAAACCTTTTTTTTTAGACAACTATCAAAGATATTCTTTTAAAATATGTGGATGGTAATATGATATTACAGCACTTCATGATTAACCAATCATTATGTCATTCAATAAGAAATACATTAGCATCTGTTATTATAAAACATGAGTTAAAAGATGGTTTGGATGCTAAGATTACCAAAAATAGATTTATATATTTAGCTGCAGGTAATATATACAAATTATCTGACTAAAGGTACTTAAAGTAAATTCGTTATTGAAAATATCAATTTTATTGACATATTTAACACCTAAGTCTTGAACACACAATACACCTATAATATTGGATTATTGCGTACATTTAAAAAATAAATTCAAAGTTAATCAAATATATTAAATTATTAATTTGTAAATTTATTTTTGTTGCAATACCTTTGTATATTACACATACATTTGTGTACATACTACATAGGTATCCAAGCTATATTTCCAACTGAAATAGAGTTTACATATTTTATTCTATATGACAAAAATGGCTCCAAAGCTAATAAAAGACCGTCTACTTCGTCGTTTCAACTTTTAGATTTTGAGTGGAACGATAAATGTATTGATTTGACAATGATGTTTTTTTTATTTTTTTTTTGTGTCTGTGTACAAGATAAATAGTCGAAAAAATGCTTCGATTTTCAACTTCAGTATCTTGTTCGATGGGAATGTGAATATCGTTATTGCGTTAAGAAGGTCAAAATTTAAAATTCCCAATAGTTTTCAAAAACGCCCGGAAAAACTAAATAAAAATTGAGGAAAAACGGGAATTTTTAAGCAAAATCGATTTTGGTTTTTGGTGTAACATTAATTTTATGTAGACACATACATTTTCAATGGTTGCTAATATTTTCATTTTCTACATATGATCAAATTTTCAAAATATTTTGATTTGTTTTGTACTGTTTAGTCACATTTTAGGTTTCCAATTGTATTAGTTTTTTTTTCTATGAATGTCAATAAAACTTTATTTAATACAAGACTCCTACTATATTGTTGCATTGACATTTGAAAAATATTAAAAATCCTTTGTCGGAGTTTGTTTTTATAAGCATTTAAAGTTCAAAAATTGACAAAACATGGAAAAATCACGAAACTTAGCATATTATTTTGAGTTAAGAATTCGTAAAAAATTTTCCTTTTTAAATCTAAGATTTTAATATGTAATACAAGATTTCTTATAAGATTATCTACCTTTATCAAAAAAAAAGGTCCATTAGAAAGTTAAATTAAATTTTTATAAGCGTTTGAAATTAAAATTTTTACAACATTGGATATTCACTCGATTTCTCAAGTAGCGATTTCCTTATTTGTTGTAATTCAAAAACGAATAACTGTAGATACATGAAAATTTCAGTGAATGTTTATTTTACCAATTCTTATACTTCATAAAATTTTTCAAAATATTTCGACTTGTTTTGAGCTGTTTACGGACAATTTCATATTTCAATTTTTTTTTTTATTTTTTTTTCAATGAATATCAATAAAGTTTTATCTGTTGTGATAAAAAGTGTAAAAATGTAATACAAGGCTCCTGATATATTGTTATAATAGCAGTTGAAAAATATTAAAAATACACAGTCACAATTTTTTTTCAAGCATTTAAAGATCGAATTTTGACAAAATTTATCAAATTTAAAATCGAATAATTATTTTGTAGTTAAAAATTTATAAAATGTTCAACTTTTATATCTAAGAATTGAAAATTTAAAACAATATTCCACGTTAGTAGTTAATTCTGAAACAAAAAAATTTAAAAAATACATAAACACAGTTTATTTTTATAGTCATTTTAAATTCAAATTTGGACGAAATTACATAATAAAAAACCTAGAATAAATATTTTAGTTATTTTGTTGTGATTGTATAATATTTTTTTCGTGGGTACTTGAAACTTCTAAAGTATACTACTATATAACTACGATAGTATCACATTTTTTTAGTGATGTATAACGCGTTATAAGTACCTAATGGATATTGTGATATGATTAACTTGGAATTTATTATAGGTACCTATTATAGGTCAATTTTTTTTTAATACCATAGATATGTATATAATATGTCTTATACCTAGACTTATTATAAGGCTCCTGATTTATTGTTAGAATAGCAGTTGAAAAATATTAAAAATACATAGGCACAATTTTTTTTTATATGCATTTAAAGATCGCACTTTGACAAAATTTATCAAAATCTCGAAAATTATCAATCATCGTAATTAATAAATTATAAAATGTTCAGTTTTTATAGCTAAGGATTGAAAATTTAAAAAAAAGATTCTCATAAATAGTTCATACTGTAGCCAAAAAATCTAAAAATTATATGAGCACAGTTATTTTTTACAGACATTTAAAGTTCAAATTTGGGACGAAATTACATATTAAAAAACCTAGCATACCTATTTTAGTTATTTTGTTGTGAGTGTATAATACTATTCGTGGGTACTTGAAACTTCTAAAGTACACTATATTATATATCTATGATAGTATCAGGGTTTGTTATTGATGTATAACGTGTTATAAGTACCTAATGGATATTGTGATTTGTGATATGATTAATTTGGAATTTATTATAGGTCAATTTTTTTTAATACCATAGATATGTATATAATATGTCTTAAACCTAGACTGACATACCGTCTTCGCTCAGAATCGTTTTTCTTATACAATGATATTGTATCATTGAATTCAAATTTAATAGCATCCATTATACAGTGACCCACTTGTAACATACTGTACAGCAGAGCGACATCCACTTACCCACCTTTTTCTGTATACTTTATTTATACTTTATTTCCTCACGTTACTACTTCGGTGGCAAAAATGCTTGTATATCATGAGGATTGTTGCATTCATTATTTTTTTTATTTTTATATGTTGTTGGAAATATAGTAGGAACATAAGCTGGACTATTGGGATGTCTTAATGGTTTATTTCCAACAAAATGATCACCACATATAACTGCAAGGGTATTCGGTCTCCACAGTGTTCCATCATCACTACAGATACACACAATAGTATAAAATGTAATTAGTTGCATAAAACTAAAAATTAACATCCTCGACGCTTTTTTAATTCTTTTAATATTTTTGATCCACTTTTCCTTAAACTCTTTATCGTGTTATCTATTAGGGAAGTTAAACATTTTATGACCTGTTCAGTTAGTATTGCTACAATTGACAACACAACACACTTGCCCACTTCCTTTTTTATTGTTACTCATTTTTAATTTAAACAATATCACTTGAAAGAATAAAATGAAACAAATAAAAATGTACGTGTGATACTATTATTATGTGTAACAACGATAGTCTGATGTCTGAACTCAGAACTAACATAATTTAATAATTACCTACTACCTAACCTAGGTAGGTACCTAACGTATCATACACATATCATTCGTTCCTATCGATTAGTTCGTATATGTTCCACTACGGTGCTCGCTATTTCATGGTTTGCACGGCGTCTATATACGACTGCCGCCTCTGACGCAGATGCCTCCACCGGACCCGATGACCATAGTGGTGGGACGGCGGGGAGAGACCGTGCCGACATCGACGCGCGATTAAATATTACACTATAGTGTAGGGCAGTGTTTCTTAATCTTTTTGATATCACGGAACACCAAACAAATATATTGTTTTTATGCGGAACCCCCATGAAAATTATCTAAGAAAAAACAAAATATGTATACTCTGTACCAAATATGAGCTCAAAGGTTGGCGTACGAAAACTCGAGCATGACAAAGAGCTCTACCGCAGCGTGTGTCAGCGCTGGCAGGGTAGTGTCGGCGGCGAATACGGCCGAGTAACGGCGACCAATGACAGAGCGAATTGACCCGGCCAAGTGGTCCGGACGTCACACCGCGATTCATTTGGATGCGCCAACGCGGTAAGCTCTTATTTGTTACAGGGTAATCGATGATTGAGAAGAACCATTCGATAAATTGAACTTGTTGTGATTGTATCTACCCAAAAGATTGAAGGCGTCAAGGATAGGCAACCAAAATTGAATGAACGATTAACGTTTCAGAAGCAACAGTATGACAACGCCTACATCTGAGATATAAGCAATTCAACACAGCCTTTCGTTTACTTCGTTTTTAGTTCCAGCGATATGAGATCACTCGTTAATACTAATTAGTATGATAATGTGTGGTTGTAAATTATTAT